AATAAATCACTTCTGTTTTTATGTGCATTTTACCTACTGTGCCAACTTTTATGGACTTGTGTTTGTATATTGTCGCAACATTGTTATAACAGCCCTACCTGAGCCAGGCTCTCCAGTCCAGTGGGGCAGTTTATCAGCCGTTGTGGTATTTGAGCTACGAAGAAATGTCAAAAACCAGGTCAGTGAGCTAGAAAAAGTACCAAACAGTGGTGTGTAACATTGCTGTGGATGGAAAAGTGGCACCAAGGTTTTAGTTTGGGGTTTATTGCTGCCTAACCACTATTCAGACGGTTCATTTGGTCAAACCAATGAGGCCACATCCTGCAGTCTTTCTCAAAAATCTACTGAAGTGCCTTATTATGCTGTAGGTATTTATAGATATATAGGTAGATATGAAAATTACTGTGCAGAAGTCTTAGGCTGTCTGAGAAGATGCAATGTAAAGGTGTTTATCTGGGTGCTAAGCGGATATTTGCTCAAAGAAGTCTAATATTAACACTAATAAATAAACATTAATAGTGATTTTATGATTATATGTTTAAGAAATTTAGATTTGAGATTGTATTACTTTAATATAGGCAAAAAAAGACTTGCTGCTGAGATAGAGTTATGTAAATAATTATAGTAAATAAATCAAATTTTTTATTTTAAATAAAGTAGCTGTGAGCTGGTTAGAAGCACAAAGTTTGTTTTGAGATTTGAACTTGATGCCTCCAGCCATCACACAGATTTGTTAATTTTCACCATCAGCCCTCCTGGTCGAACTTAAAGGCCTGATTAGCCAAACCAGCTATTGCTGTCGGTCAAACTGTTGATTTTCTGGGTGAAAATAAGTTAAAACATCCTCTACAGGGAAATTCATGGCAAATTTTAGTGCAAAGTTTCTATTAATTTTTTGGTTTAAAATTTTGAGGAAAAATAAACATAGAATATAAAATTAAGCTAATAAGCAGTAATTTTGTATTAGAATGTGCAGACGTGTGTTCATTTATTTTCACGTAGAAAACCAACAACACGTGGAATTGGATCAGGGTGCTGAAAGTTTTGCATACAGCTGTAGATGATAAATACATATAATACTGAGCATCCTTGAGGAGAGGTTTGGGAATGGTTAAACAAACACATTGACATAAAAGCTCTACTACTTGTTTATTATAATATTTGAGTGTTCTTGTATATATATATATATATATATATATATATATATATATATATATATATATATATATATATATGTTGTTGAAACTCTGCCTGTCTTCTTGTGGTTTTTTAATAAACATTCATTTCATTCATTGATCCATCTATTGTTTCTTCTTTCTCCCAAAAGAAGACTTGCTGGGACAGTTTATTACTGTAGATGGTCTCTGTCTAACTAAAGAAAACTTAAACTAATAGTTCCGACCTAACACTGACCTCTGCACTGGACAAAATATTTAGCACTGACTTTCATACTTAATTTATCAATCAAGAAATAAATGTCATAAAATAAAAAAATAAATAATAAAAATAAATGTCATAATGTCATAGAAAGTATTAAATTCTATTAAAATTAAATAACTTTCTGATAATGTAAACACTGTGTTACACTAATTTTATGTTTTAAAACAAATTATGAGAAACTCTTTTGCCATTATGTGTTTTGCCAGATAGAACCTTATAACTCCAAGCAGAAACCGAGTTCTTAGGATTAGAGGGTTCTGTTTGCATTTGACCTGTTCCAAAAAACGCATTTACAAATTTGGTAGGATTTTGATATTGTACATTTACAGTAACTTTAGGGTGTCTGTCATTGTCAAGTATTAAAGAGGCGTGTTCCACATATCAGTTTTGCTGTTTGGAATCTTAATATCTCAATATCTTAATAAGCTCAATATCTCAAAACTGCTCAGAATTCCAAGGGGACGCTATATATATATATATGTTGCTGTTGTCGGAAGAAAACCTTGTATCTCCAAAATGGTAAGTTTACAGGAGAAGAAAAAAACCTGCTTCACTTTTAATGTAAGTCAATGGAACCAGACTTTTTCCAAGTCATTTGGGGTCATTTTCTTTTACTCCATTCATCATGAAATTTGCATACAATGTAAAGGACAACATATATTTTCAAATTATGTCAAAAACTGAAAAATGTCAAAAATGGACATACACAGTGATATATATATATATATATATATATATACATATATATATATATATATATATATATATATATATATCATATATATGTGCGTATATATATATATATATATATATTTACACCACACACACATATATATATTTATCTTAGCTGCTAACATACATTTTCTAATTTTCTATATTTTTTGTTTTATGGATTATGCACTTACCTGATGTAGCCATCCCCCTCCAAAATCTATGGGGTAGAAAATCATCGCCCATTAAAAAATCTACCACATCCTGAATGAAGAGTGAGAAAATGCAGATGATCTTATTGAAATGCTGATTTTCACAACAGACTTAAATACTCACAGGATCAATAGGTGATATTCAGATGATAATGTCCCTCTCTCTCTCTCTCTCTCTCTCTGAGCAAACGTGTGAAATGTACAGTTGTATTTAGTAGAGTGGGGCGGCGCATATGAATGTGATTGATTGTGCATGTTGAACTCAGTGAGCCTCATTCAGCTACCATTCTTAAGAAGAAATTCCTTCTTAAAAGCCACAGATGATTCTGTCATTCAGCAGTGTTTTCTCATCTGGGATTTGTTCCTAGGTGAGAACAGAATCTACACACACTCAAGAGCACAAAGGTGAGAACAGTTCTGCAGTTTACACTTTTTTCTTAGGATCTTTCTCAAGAACACATTTAAGATGAAACTTAGGAAGTTAGTGGAGAATGAGGCCCAACGTTTTTGGAGCTAAAAATAGTGTTTTTAACATTTTGCTGTTTTTTTCTTCATTACATATTTATTTTAATGAATATTCATGAACTGATGATGACTAAAATCTACAAGATATTTACTATACTGTCCCGTACAGAAATCTGATATATGGCAATATGGGTTTCACATATATGATGTATATTATCACATAAGGATTTCCCTCATATCCAACTCATATGAGTCACATGTGGACATATATGTGATGTAAATACCAACTTATTTGAAACTGGCCATTGTTTAAATATGGGACACATATTTCAGCCATATATTAACATATATGTCTAATATTTTAAACAATATCTCACAGAAAGCATTATTCACATACGGAAGGCATATATTACTGATATATGTTGCAGTAAAAGCAATAAAACATGATGATTATGAAAATACTGTTCCCTGACACATTAAATATTAAAAAATAAATAATTTTAATATTTAAAAGCAAACAGATACCATAGAAACAATTAAATCTGTACTGGTATGTATTCAACCATGTACCAGACGTGTATGTATGTTCCACATATTATGCACAAATATCAAATATTTAATACTTATACAGTGTAAATGTACATATATTTTGAAATGTGTCTGATCCTTTATGATATGTGTTTGTATGCCTGTATATCAGATGTCCGTATGGGAAACAAATAATGTTAAGGTTATAAGGGACTCTTTAGTTGGACATTTGCCTGTTTATACCAGTGTTTTGTAAGGAATAACAAAGACAGCTCTGAGTTGAGTTAAAAATAAGAAAAGAGGAAGGAAAAGACTGCTCTCTCTCTCTCTCTCTCTCTCTCTCTCTCTCTCTCTGTGTGTGTTTGTCTCTGTATCTCCCTCTCTTCATTTGTAGATAAATATTTAAAGATAATATAAGAATATATTAAAACGGGGTCGTCACTTTAGTCAGCCTGCCTGGTGATTCCATAAAAACATTTTTTCACGATACGTGTTACCCAAAGCTCTCTCAGTGTTATTAGTCATACAGCTACATTCATAACCATCCCAGCCTCTAAAACCATTTGCAGAGTCGTCAATTCAATGCATCCATTTCTGCGGAGTAAAGTAGGTGGACTTTTAACTTGTTAATTCTTCCACCGGAAAAAGGCGTCGTTTTAGGCAGAAAACCACATTTGGTGCAACACCGCAGCGCGTCTCCTTAGTGCTGAAGTGGAAGCTGTTTTGAGTTTATCGAACCTTTTATTTCCAACTATTGGAAATATTAAAGTATTTGATTCGGTTATTTTATACGAACGTAAACAATACTTAGTACAACAAAAAAAAATATCTAAGGCTGAATCACGTGGTAACGAGGAGAGAGAGAGAGAGAGAGAGAGAGAGAGAGAGAGAGAGAGAGAGAGAGAGAGAGTTATTAAATTATTAATCACATTAAAAAGGAATGTGAGGCTTTGTATCAGCCTGCTGACGCTGCATGTTTTATTAGAACAAAAAATGTAGACAAAAATATGCGGATGTGTCATTTTTAAATTTGTTTAGGAATAAAAAAAATAATAAAACAAATTTTATTATATATTAATAAATAATAATAAAATCTGTTTTATTCTAAATTATCGTTGCCAGCCTTTTTATGCGCCCATGCGAATATATTTTGCATATTGTCTTTCTAATATTCACTATACGCAGCTGTGTGGGAAAGTTTTGCCACCCCTGTTCAAATGAGGTTTTCTTGATTTTCTAAGTGAAAATAATGTACAGTAGCAGCTGTTCTACTGAATTTCACATATTATGGGAAAAAATAAACCTTAAATGTGGCCTCTGCATCACATTTTATGTGTAACGTTTTCCCAATATGTTAAACTTAGCAAATAAATCCAAAACGTGCAGTAAAATTTCCAGATGAAAATGCCGTATTTAATTTTGTTCCCTGTAGAGAATGCGTTTAGTAGCATATCACTGCATGTTACTAAAAATATTTGTTATTAGTAATACGACTATATCTAAAAGCATTTCAGTGGGTCTGAAAACATTTGTTTGCGAGGCAAAGGGGGGGACTTTTAACTTGTCAGTCAAGCCCTCCAAACGGAAGACGCGGGACTTTTTGGCAGGGGCCCCTTTTCAGCGCTACACTCAGCGCCGCGCTTCTTCTCAATCTCCGCCATCTTCGGGCTGACTCGGACATGGCCGATTACTCCAGTGTAGCACCGCCGACATCCAGCGCCGGAGGAGGCATGAACGACGCGTTTAAAGACGCGCTTCAGCGGGCGAGACAGGTGAGCGACTCCGTTTAAGTCCCGAGCTTGAACGTTTTTAAGCTTTGGCCGCGGCGTCTGTGTTACGGAGCGGTCGGTTAGCAGGGTTAGCTTAGCAGAGCTCCGACAAAGACAAAAGCTGCGAGGCTGAAACCAGCTTCTTGCTCGAACTCGGCCGGTCCACCTTAAATGGTGCAGCAGCAGCGTTCCGCCGCTGGAGGCCTGAGGCGCTAGAACGGAGCTGCTGCTCCATTTAAGGTGGAACGGGAAAATTCGAAAAGGAAGCCAACTTCAGCCTCGTGTAAAAGCTAAACGCGTTGACCCTTTCTGTCGCAGAAAGGCTTAATTAAATCCAGATAATGAAATATTAAACGTGTACATCTAATATTTTTCGCTATTTTTAGGTTTAATGAGTGATATTAGCCAAAGTTCGCGCTAGCTTAGCTGCTTTAGCTGTCTAACGTAGCAATTCTTTAAGTTAGCTAGCGTTAGCTGTGCTAGCTTCGCTGCTGACGAACTTTCGAAACGGCGGTTTTATCTGCGAGTTTATATTTCAGTTTTTTTGTCGAATATCCTTTATTACCATCTCAGAAACAAAGATAATATTTTCTTTGCGGTCAGTGATAGTTTAATGTGGTACACAAAACAAACGTTAAAGGGGAACTCCACCGATTTTACAAAATTTCCGAACAACTCGGTTCTTGAGACGTAAACAGTCGTTCGGAGGGGTTTTCGGGGTGAAATGGTTCATTGTAGAGGCTCATTTCTTTACAGTGGTGGTGATGGGAACCAGGGGCCACCATGACTACAACACAAATATAGCCATTTTATTTACTGTCCAAAACCACCAGTGAACCTCCACGTGTCTTCTGAGGTTTTATATGTAATGTTGATGATGGTGAATTAATCACAAATCTGAAAAACTATATTTTTTTGGGGACTGTTTTGCTTCACAACACATTGGAAGTACCACCTCGCCATGAGTGGATTAAAATAAGTGGATTAATATCGATTAAAAACCAAAACATTATCAGAAAGCTATCTTGCTATCTTGAAACAATGTCCCAGACATCAGGCATTGTATTTATATCCATTTCATATATATATATATGTAAAACTTTTAGAGGTTTAAAAACTTTTAGGGGCTTTTAGAGGTGGACGTCTGCTTCCTGTCGCCACCACTGTGAACTATTCTGACTGTAAGTTTCTCTGTAACAGAGCATTTCACACCAGACCACTGTAGTAGTGCAGAAACTTTGAGACATACGTTTTGTTGTCTTATCTGTTCAGCTGGTCAGGTTTAACATTAGCTGACGCAGACCGTAAAGAATATGACCCAGATCTCCCTGTTTTTCAGATAGCAGCAAAAATCGGAGGCGACGGCGTTGCCCCTGCCCCTTCCTCCAATGAGTTCGGATATGGAGGCCAGAAAAGGCCTCTTGAGGACGCCGGTAAGTGTTCAGACTTTCCAAACCCTTTCACAGCCACTCTGGCCAAACGTTTCTGTTTAAACTCTGTTGGTAAGTAGAGCTGAGCTTCTGTTCATGCAAGACTGGGGGCATCTGCCACTTGTTTATGTATAATTATAGCCAGGAAAACAGTGGGTTTGTTGAATTTAAAGGAACTTTTTCAGGTCACTCAGAGGACAGAAATACTGAAAATGAGATTATAGAGCTCTATTCAGGATTGATTTTTTTATGAGGAGGTGGGTTGTGCCAGGACGTTTGTAAATTTTAAGGCCCTTTTCGCACAGGCTGAGAAATTTCAGTATAAATGACGGATATGGGAGTGGCTACTCGATTTATGCACTGCCTTCACTTCAGAAAAGAGTAGAAAACATGTTAAAATATTTAATTCAGCCATTTTTTTGTTTACTCTAACCATTTACCTTGCTGTCTGAAGTGAATGCAGTGTGTCATTAACCTGGGAATTTACAACAAAGTCAGCTTTCATAGCATTAAATCAAACTTTTCTTGAATTTTTATGTTTTGAGTTGTACATACGATAAAGTACAGTAACGTTACATATCGGCTTGATTTTAGATCAGTATAACCTGAGATTATTTCTCGTTTTACAGAAAGTAAAAAGCATGTGAATCTTTACTGAGGCGAGAACGTTCAGTAAGTAAAAATGCCTGACGTGGCACATTCGAATGGGACTAAAGTCGTGAGAAACGCTGTTACAGATTAAGTCACCCCACCTCCCCATGTAAAGCCAATCTTGTCAGAGTAGGACTCTAGTGTCCTTTACTTCACTTACACAAAGTTAAGTCTTGTTTTTCAGCCTGAAATTCTCCTGGGAAACAACCCTCAGATTTTTTTTCACAAGTTTTATCTGAGTAATGTTTTTGTGAAGTGTAAGATCTTGTCTAATATAGATGTTTTAATATACCTCAATGTATGTGTGTGATGTAGATGTCTTTGTAGTCTTTATAGTTTAGACAGAGGCCTCAAGCTCTTCTCGTTTTGCTTTGGGGCTTCTTACTGTAACATGCTTATTTTAGTCTCTTTCTGTTAAGGGTGTTTGTTTTTTGTTTTTTTTTTTTTTTTTTTAGAGGAAACATTTCAGAAAGCATTGATTCTTCATTACTGTAATATATAGGTGCTTTATTTGTTCTGAGACAAAGTTGATCCTAACTAGGACATTTTTTCCTTTAAGTAAAGTTAACCAGTCATATTGTTGAGAAAGTGTGTTGTGTATTTCAGGTACTTTTGGGACAGGATTCGGTTTACATGGGGATGGAGGCGTTCTTTTACCAGAGGAAGTCTGTAAGGGTTATGGATGATTCACATTGTCATAAATTATGGAAATGGGAGCAGCTATTTGATTTATGTGCTGCCTTCATTCCAAAAAGTTCCATGCACAAAATGTTTAGCTGCTCAAAAGTAAAAGCAACTTAATCATAGAACCCTGACCATCTACCTAGTTATCTTAAGTGTATTTAGCGTTGTCATTAGATTGAAAATTTACAGCCAACAGAAAACATTCCTTTTTTAATTGCCCATTTACCTTTTTTTGAATGTTGGGAATTGTACATTTGAGGTACATAAGTATAGGCTTGATTTGAGAATACAACTCAATGCTTTGAGTTGTACCACCCACATATATATAGAAAATGTGTATATATCTATGATGCAAATAAGCTTTGTTTTTATTGGCTGACCTGTTTTGTGCCCCTTTTAAAAAGCAGTCCAGGCTGAAACACTCCTTAAAACTAAGGTGCTGTAGGCTGAATAGGGGATACATGTAAATGAGTTTGTTCTCGTAACATTACACAAAAATAAATAGGCTCTTTTGCAGCATAGTTTCCATATGTGGACAAAACATAGTGGATGTTTGAAACTTTTAGAAGTGTTTATATATTATTTTATAAATTTTTTTATAAGTTTGCTAATTATATTTTATAAGAATTACTGATGTGACTGATTAGTCGGGACTAAAATTAATGAAGCAGGGACAAAACTGACATTACCCACCTCCCCATGTAAAATTAATCCTGTCTACTAATAGTGTTGCTAATCAGTCAACCACTAGAAAGCAATGGGGCTTGTTATGTGTGGATTTTTTTTTTAATAAATATTTATTTATTTAGTGACGAGTCAGAAGTTGGTCACTGTGCCATCTCTGCTCACAGAAGCCTAGTGTCTGCAGTGGCTTTTTATTCTTGAACATCTTTTTTGAAAGCTTTATAGCAGCCATAGCTCTGCCTTGTACTTGTTTAACATGCATTCTTAATCTGTGCCTTTAAGCATGTGGCCTCTGTATTTTAGTGTCATGTTTATAGTGGCTCAGTTTGCTGAAATATCTGATGCCTGAAAATAGTTTCCTTGTGTCTGTAAAAAACACACCTTGTATACTTCAACAGTTTGCGTTCATATAGTCTTATTTTTTCTCGTTTTACAGACCAGCCAGAAACGAAGAAAGTTGCTCCAAATGACCGTAAGCCTTTTCTTCCTTTTCATTTTATGCTTTTTTTTTTCTTAAAATGATTACCTCACTGTCATTTTGAACTTGGCTATGTTTTTTTTTGTCCAGCTTTTGCTGCTGTAAAGGGCGGAATGGGTGGTCTTCCAAGGTATTCGGTTTTGTGTCATTTGGCTTTTTGCTGTTTTGTGATCTAATTATCCTTTAAAGTTCAGAGACGTTTTAATTCATGTCCTAATTTGGAGACATGAATCTCTTGTCCTTTCTTCGTACAGGCCTACCTCGGAAGAGTTCAAGGTTCCAGATGGCATGGTTGGCTTTAGTAAGTGGATTCTTGATGACTTCAAAAAATTTTAATGACTTGTCCTGCAAAGCTTGGCTGACTTTTCCTTTTAAATGTCTCCAGTTATCGGTAGAGGAGGAGAGCAGATATCAAGGGTACAGCAGGAATCAGGATGCAAGATACAGATAGCTCCAGGTGAGTGACTAACTCCTTCAAACAGGGACCTGTTCACTGTTTTTATAAGCTGTAAGACTATAAATAACACGTTTGTTTTTGCTCACAGATAGCGGTGGTATGCCTGATAGATCAGTGACGTTAACAGGCTCTCCAGATTCAATCCAGTGAGTGTCTGCCCACATTCAATACACAGGATGATCAGTTATGTCATGTACTTTAGGCTGTGTGTGCTGACATGTTCTCTTTTGTGTTTTCGCGCCCGACAGGACTGCGAAAAGGTTACTGACGGAGATTGTAGAGAAAGGCAGACCCACCCCATCGTTTCATCATAACGATGGTCCAGGATCGTCAGTTCAGGAAATAATGGTCCCTGCGTCCAAAGCAGGCTTGGTCATTGGCAAGGGAGGAGAAACCATCAAGCAGCTGCAGGTGAGACCACGAAGAAGTTTGCATTGTGTGTCTTTAAGGTCCAGAGTGGATTCAGTTTTTTCAGTACAGTCGTTTACAAGAACTGTTGCCTGAATCACAGGAACGTGCTGGAGTCAAGATGGTGATGATTCAAGATGGACCGCAAAACACAGGGGCAGATAAGCCACTCAGGATTTCTGGAGATCCCTTTAAAGTTCAGGTCAGTCCATCATAGACTGATCAGGTCATTTACCAGATCAGGTTTAAAAAAAATTTACATTATGATGATTCAGAGATGGTGTAGTCATTCAAGAGAGTGAAGTTGAAAAAAATGACCATCTCCTTCCAGCAAGCCAAAGAGATGGTGATGGAGCTGATCAGAGACCAGGGCTTCAGAGAGCAGAGAGGTGAATATGGATCCAGGATGGGCGGAGGAGACGGTCTGGATGTAAGTCAGGACAACATAGCTTGAGCTTGTAGCTCTATTGTCTGATAGAATAACTGTTGATGGATATTTTATCACTGTTTTAAAGTTTAATTGTTCTGTGGTTGCTTGTCTCTTAGGTGCCGGTGCCACGCTTTGCAGTGGGGATTGTGATTGGCAGGAATGGTGAAATGATCAAAAAGATTCAGAACGACACTGGTGTTCGGATTCAGTTCAAACCAGGTGTGTAATAACTGGGTTGCAGGTTAGAATTATCTCTCAGGATGGCGAAAATATTTGACCAGAAAAATTTAATTTTTCCCTGTTACTCCATTTTCAGCCAAGTTAAACTCAAATTAGCTGTCTTTACACTTTATTTTGATTGTTTGTGCCTTCTTTAAAAATAAATGTTTTTTTTATCTGTAATCCTTACCTGTCTCTGTTTGCTCTCCTGCAATCTAGACGATGGCAGCACACCAGAAAGGATAGCTCAGATCATGGGCCCACCTGACCGGGCACAGCACGCAGCTGAGATCATCTCTGACCTGCTGCGGAGTGTTCAAGCTGGAGGTCCTCCAGGACATGGGGGCGGCGGTGGCGGCGGCGGCAGAGGCCGGGGCCGTGGCCAAGGCAACTGGAACATGGGTCCCCCGGGAGGCCTGCAGGAGTTTTCCTTCACAGTCCCCACCATGAAGACAGGCCTCATTATTGGCAAAGGTCAGTTCTGAGATGTTACTGTGGTTCTGTGTCTCTGGGATTTGCCGTTGTTACTAAATTACTTCCTGATTTTGTTAGATGTTTCATTGTGCACTCAATGATCTTTAACAGGGGGTGAGACAATTAAGGGCATCAGTCAGCAGTCTGGTGCCAGGATAGAGCTGCAAAGGAATCCTCCTCCCAACGCAGACCCCAACATAAAGATGTTCACCGTTCGTGGAACGCCACAACAGATCGACTACGCCAGACAGCTGGTCGAGGAGAAGATTGGAGTGAGTGACTCAGTGACACATTTAAACAATCAGTATACATAATCAGCCATATCGTCTTTTACTGAAACGGTTTATTGGGCCCTGATTAAAAATAATTTTTATTTGGTTTGGTTTTCTGCTCAGGGTCCAGTCAACCCTATGGGTGGACCTCATGGCCCACCTGGCCCCCATGGAGGCCCTTCACCCCATGGCCCTCCTGGTCCACCAGGGCCTCCTGCCCCTATGGGACCCTACAATCCTGGACCCTACAACCAGGGACCTCCTGGACCACAGTAAGAGCCCCCCACCCTTTTTTTTTCTTTCAGCCGAGCAGTAGGGCTATAAAATATATTTTAATTTTTATGGAGTTACTGACACTTTCAGTTGTAATAATGATTACTTTGCCTATTGTTAATGTACTTAAACATGTAACAGTAGAATTATAATATCTAGTGGTATGCATTTTCAATCATTTGTATACTCATTGCAGTTTATAAGGCGTCTTTAAACCTACTTATTTTGAGGGACCTTCTGTTGTTGGTCTGAAAAGGCAAGTCTGTTGAGATGCACAAGGTAATATATGGCTTTGGCATTTGCAGTGGTCCTCCTGGGCCTTACCAACCTCAGGGCTGGGGCAACGGGTACCCTCACTGGCAGCAAGGTCAGCCAGATCCCAGTAAGTCCTTCATTTCAATTGTCTTTGGTTTTTCTCACCATAGCATGATGTATGTGTAAGAAGAATAAATATATTTGTTTAAAAACAATAGAAAATACTGAATAAAAGAATATTGTTACTGCTAATTGTTTTACTTGATCTGTGCTTTGCATTATTTCATGTTTAAACTTTGAAACAGGATGTTTAACCTCGGCTTTATTAAAACGTATATGTATGTTCTGGTGGCTGAAGGTTGCTGAGATCGTTGTTTGTGTTATGTAGATAAAGCAGCAGCTGATGCTAATGCGGCAGCGTGGGCAGCCTATTACGCTCAATATCAACAACAGCCACAGGCCCCCATGACACCAACAAATGCCGCTCCAGGCACCACACAGACCAACGGACAAGGTTAGTGTCTCTCCAGTCCCATACCTAATGTAGAAGCCTTTTAGACTGAATGTCAGGCGTGTTCTGCACTGTAGCAAAAGCCACTCTATAGTTCTTTGCTTTTTAAGTGCGTGTTTATTCCTTTCTTCTACTTTTTTTTTTTCCTAGGGTTTTTTGTTGTCTTTAGACAGGTTTCTCCTTTTCTTTTTTAGTGTTTATGGGGAAAGGGCAGGTTCTGAGACACCTTAGACCTGTTTGGGTCAAATGCAGGCTTTCTGCAGGACGGTTCTCAATCATATTGTACCATTTTTAACAGGTGACCCGCAGGCTCCAGGTCAGACTGGACAGGCAGATTACACCAAGGCCTGGGAGGAATATTACAAGAAATTGGGTATAAATATTTTGCCAAACGTAGCTTCAGATTCTCATCCTTGGGCCCAGCCTAAACAGCAAAAGGGACTTGAATGGCCTCTGAGAGCTGCTCGCCATGCAGAGCCTTATGTAATTGGCCTTAATCAGTGATGTGCAGTTTGTCAAAGGGGTTCGTGTCGCAGGTTGATTCAAGTCCTGCTGTTTAGACTGTGGAACTGTAGGCAGGTTAGAGTGATGAAGGTAGAAAACAAAGCATATGTGCCAGTACTTCAGTTGAACCTGGCTTTTATACATGCTGACGAAGGAGAGATCAGGGCGTACATGCTGTAGGTTTAGTAGTTAGATCTAAACAGTTTTGTCACTTGTATTTCCAGTGCTTTAAAGTGTAAACGAGGTAAAAAAGTGTCACAATTCTGTCTCAGGTCAACAAGGACAGCAGCCGCAGGACTACACCAAGGCATGGGAGGAGTACTACAAGAAACAAGGTAGGAGTTATAGAGGCTTTCCTGATTTTTTTTTTTCCTGTTCTCTTGACTGTTTGCAGATATGGGCGGCCGTGTTTGTCTTACGGCCCTCTATGGTAGAGCTGCTGTAAATATGGCTGCCCTAGAACAAACCAGTGGGTTTCTGTCCCGCCACTCGGAGGTAGCGTGGCTGGGGTCGTTCCCCCTCTGACAAACCATGTTTTGCAGTATTGTCCAGTTCTAGATGTAGTTCAGTTAAATGCCAAATTAGCAGCTTTGGAAGAAGTCACCTCAACACACAGTGGTACTTCTCCAAACTGGTTGTTCTGAAGCAGTTTGTAACATGTTCATAGGGGCAGATTGTCTGAAATGTGGCTTGATTAGTGATTTATTAGGGGCATCTTCACTTCCCCTACTGTAACGTACATTCGTGGTTACCCAGAGAGATTATAAATTATGACCATTTGGCACGGCCCAGCTTGGAAGAGCAAGGGTTTTCAACTCCATTCTCTATAATACTGTATATAAAATTTGGCACCAAGAACAAAAAGATCAAATAAATATGTAGTTTTTTGGATTTTAGCTTAAATCCGTTTGATGCTGAATCAGGTTTATGGACTTAACATGTATTAAATTTAGGCTGCATTCAAATTTAGCCACGTTGGTGTCGCTCATTAATGGGAGGGCAATAAAACGTCGGTGATAGTTACCAAAAATAAAGAAAATTGTTTCATGATGGACTTCTATTATCCTCAAAGTTGAATCGGGAGATCCCTTGAGGTTCCCAGCATGTGAAATCTTTCACCCTAGCTATCAACATTTTTATACCAGTGAATTACAGCACAAGCTTTTTTTTTTTTTTTGATGATAAACTTCTTTGCAAGGAAAGAAATGATTAAAAATTTGATTTGATTTCACTTTCATTTTCAAATTAGCGACTCAATTTTGGTTTAAAACATGCTTATCATACTTCACAAATATGTTGCCAGTTCTTACTGTATGTGATGGACATTGCAGGTCAAGCTGCCCCACAGGCGGCCGCAGCAGGCGCCTCTCAGCCCGGAGGCCAGCCGGACTACAGCGCGGCCTGGGCAGAATATTATCGCCAGCAGGCGGCTTACTACGGCCAGAGTGGCTCTCAGCCCATGGGAGCAGCACCGCAGGCCCAGCAGGTACGCTCCCACTGACATTACCCCTCTTTATCTGCCTTATGTTATGATGTTTTTGAGCCATTCTGAAACTGTTGAGTTTAAATGTCCGAATATGTCCTTTCTTTCATAACATTTTCCTCCACAGCTTCAGCAGGTTTCCAGACAACAAAGCGACAAGACTTTAACCAAACTCTTCCCTCCCTATACAGGCCTCTTTATCTCTTTATTTTGGGCAATGGGGGGTGGTTGGGGGAGCTGAGTCGGTGTTTCTGCTCTTAACATGTTGTGTATTTCTTATGTATTTCTTCTGCACAGGGCCAGTAATGCGAAGTGGACATAAAGTAAATGCTACATTGTCGAAAAAATCCTTTATTAAATGTTTGGATGCAGACGCCTTGATGAAGATCTTAATTTCCTTGGTTTGTGTTTAAACTAGATTGCAAACAAAAAAAAAAGTGGTTCCGGATTCCAAGATATATTTTTTTGTTTTTTTCCATTTTGTTTTCCTCTCTTGTACAAATGAACGGTTTGTTTTTAGTGGGGTAATATTGGTCATTCCAGCTCCTGTATCTCATTATGTAGTTACAGCTCATGTCTATAAATGATAGTCCTTTTTCCATGTAAATCATCTCAGTTTTAAAATGAAATGCCTGTTGTGTTTTTGCAATAAAACAAAATGAAACCTCCTGTGTTGGTAAGTGGGGCAGCAAAAGTGGGGCAGAACTTGTGTAAGAGTTATTTTTTTTATTTTTTCTTGTTTTTTTTTTTTCAAATATTACACTTTTGTTTTGTGGGGTGGGTGGAAAGGGGTTCAACACTTGGAGTTTAGACCATCTCCCTCTCTCTGTCCAAATTTACAGACTGAAAATGACACTTGTGTCTTTGTTTCTCTCCAGCTGTTTAAACAGCTCTTGGGTTTTTTTTGTTTTTTTGTTTTTTTTTTAATTTCGATTCCTGGTCTTGTTTTAGATCTGGCAGAAACAATCTTTTGACATTTTGCTTGCTTGCTGAACGGATCTAGTCCTGTTTTTATACTGCATTATTTAATTTTTACTGGCAATTGCTGTGGTCGTAGAATAGACAGGTGTATCTGAGGGAAGGTAACTTGCTGTTGGCGAGGTATGTGACTCATTCGCAATGACTCCTTGCTCAGTGCTAAGGTGATGTTATTTGTATTGTATTGTTTCCAAGTGTACTGACTTCAGGTAGCGTGCACTGTTTATAATGTGAGAAACTTTCCCCCTCACAGGCGAGTTTAGGACAGCGGTAAGCAAGTACGTCTTTTTTTTTTTTTAATTTTTTTTTACTAAAAACCAACAAAAGAAAATGTTCCTTTATAATGTGACTGCAGAAATGTTGCAAGCTTTTTAGTTGCTCTCTCTTTCTCAGTATGCTCTTGTTTTTTTACAGGGCAGGTGAAATGTGCTCAATTAACAATTATGTATTATAAAATTGTCCCCACCTCCTTTCCCCAACTTTTAAATGTCATAATATACAATTTTTTAAGAAAAATGCATATAAATATCTGCTGGCATTTCTTAATCTCTTGCGATTAAAAAGCTCAAATGCGAAGGTGCCCTTTTTTTTTGCTCTGCCCGTGTTGGCGTCCCTCCAGCATAGGCCTGTAAGTGGCTTTATAGGGCTGAGGAGTCTGTGCTGTACCACACCAGTGACATGAGCCCTCCGCTGTAAGTACAAAAACAATGGCCCCGTGCTGTCAATGCATTATCCTTGACGAACTTGATATTCTTATGTAGTGCATAAGACTGAAATGTTTATCCTGAAACTGCCTTTTTGTTGTTTTTGGGGTAAGTATGTCTGGGCTGCAATTCAATTTGACATGCAAATTGTTGATGTCTCAATGTTGAGCCTTTGACCTTACCCTGTTCATGAATCGGACTGTCACTTTTGCCTGTGTTGGTAGAATGACACCTAGCAATATGTCCACTGTTTTAGTCCCTGTAGGATTTGCCAACCACTGCTTAACTCACTGAACTGTGAACTTTTTATAAGTCAGGGCAGCACATGCAATTCAGCTGTTGTCTTTTTTTTTTGTGAAACTTGCATTAGAACATTTCAGATCAGTCCTTAAAAGTGCCATTAGACACTGTTGTTTTGCCAAGTTTTTAATCCATTGCATTCTAATGTGAACCTTACCTTACCAAGCCAGTGCTTATTTAGGCAGTTCACTTGCAAAATGTATTGTTCAGATGTTGGCTGACTTGCTTAGTACCATTTTCCAGGCTGTCATAGATTTATTTTTTGCCTTTTGAATCGTTTTGCCATTGCTTAAAGACTTTTCGAAGGCTGTCAAATCGATGCAAATGATTCATTTGACGATGTTGATTGGCACAAATGAGCAGTGCACTGTCTGATTTTGCAGCGTCATCCCACACCTTAGGTTCTGCTGCAATAACACAGGTAAGCTTAACCTAAGAAACCAAGTGTTTTGAACCTGTGAATCAGTCTTGATTTGTATTTTGCCTGACTTTTCCACTGAACCCGACATTGGTGCATTTTTGTCAGAATTTCTAGGCACATGTCTTTATGAAATGTTGACATTAGTATTGAAAGCCATAGCCCTTTACAGTGAGTCGTAGGATGTTCTGTATTTGAATGATGTGCATGTCACTGGCTGACGTGCAGCTTAATGTGATATTTTTTCATTTTTCTTCCATAAATGCAAAGCATCTAGCATTTTTACATGATTTGAAATGCCGTTCTTGTTCATTCGATGCCAATATGTCCAATGCTTATTCATTCTGATGTTAGTCTGTTGGTTAAACCTGTTTTAGGGTGGCTCAATGTCACTGTAGATCATTTTCCCTGCCTTACCAATGCTGCATGCAGTTGGAATATATATATATATATATTTTTTTTAACCAGGGATCTGTCTTAGCAGCTATTTCACTGATACTGAAGTGTACACATGTATGTATGCTCTCATGTCACTGGTTTAAACCCTGTGCTGTTGCTATTGCCCTTCTGTAGTGCTAATACAAATTGCTGCCTTCATTCTCACTCACAGTGTTGAAGATGCTGCAGGCATAGGTCGTAGAATCAGGTCCTGAGCTAGGTTTGTCCCTAAGGAGGAGTCTGAGTCTGTCCCTCCGCTGAACATAGACCGTTCGAGGGCTCCAGTTATAAGGTAAAGAAAATGTATCCTGAGGAAATCTGTGATCTTGCAAAGTGAATGTTATTCGTTCAGGGCAATTGTTTTGATGCTATTCTGATGAGCTAGCTTTGTCTTAAGATGAGTAACAACATGCTTTTTGAATTGTCGGTTGATGAATGGCCTGTTTGATGAACTATGATGATTTCGTATATGCTTTGCCATTTGCTGATGTGAGTCAGGAATCAATGCTAGATGGATGGATCATGACCAGGAACTTTTTTTTTTGTTTTGTTTTGCGTAGCAAATTTTCAGGCTTCGATTGCTTTTTGGCAGTTAATTGGAGAGTTTCTTTGAATTTTGCTGTCCGTTGCTGCATATGTTTTGGTATGCATGCAATATGCTCTTTCCTTCTGAGCAAACTGTTCACAACAGAATTCGTGGGGGTGTAGAAAAGAAGACATAATCGGAGGCTATCTGAGAAATGGGGAGCATGCCTTAGAGGTAAACACAATTAGTTTCATGTACTGTTGAAACACTCGAATGTACATTTTTGTTTTTGTTGAATTTGCTGAATATTGTTGGTTTTTTGAGTGAGCGTTGTTGACATGTCCATCAATAAAATTGTAATGATTGGAAGTCTGGCCTCAAATATGTTAATGGGCCTCGTCTTTTCAAATTCATTAGAATCATGGTGTGGCATAAGTAAGCAAATCAGCATGCCTGCATTGTTACATAGAAGGATTCAGTATTATGAGATGTTTTTAGGCAAGGTTTTCTACATCCTTTACATACTAAAATGGCCAAGAAGCAACTTTTGGTAAATATTTTAGGCTTCTTAAAAGAATCTGACAGTTGTTTCACTATTAATTGTGCAGAATGTTACACGGTGTCTTGTTTCAAGGAGCTGAGTACAAAAGAGAGATGAGAGGTGAGCATGCTAGTAGTCTGGTGTTCAGACTTCAACTTTTTGCGCCACATTTTATTTATTTAAGATTCGAACCAACTTGAAACTCACCCTTTACTGTATAAACTCAGAAATACACCAGAGAAGATTTAGAACTATTTTTTATTTATTTATTTATTTATATTAGTCTGTCACTACTGGGCAGTTTCCCCTAGACTTGAGGAGAAACGTGGGATAAAATCAGAGCAGTTAAAATTGTCTTTAAAGGTATTTGAGCACGTTTTGGATATGTTGTAGGGTTATGATCCTTCTACACTTCACACAACTAGATTTTAAAAATATATTTTAAAATGGACTTTTTTGCATAAACAAATTACTTGATCTGATTCATGCTTCGCCCAGAAGTGTGTTCTCTCGTAGATATTGGTAGGTTTGCAAAAATCACGTTCACCCTAATGAGAAATTCATACCCATCTTGTGTCAAAATACCTAAATATTTTATTTTAGGTATGAAAATGAAATCCTATTTTACGAAAGGTCAATTATGGGTTTACACACTTTATTGTGGTGCAGTTTAGGTTTTTGAGATTAAAAGAAAATGAGAGTTAAAATTTCTAGCTAGCAAGTTGATGTAGCTACACCACTAGTTAAACAGCACATGTTGTAAAGCAATATCAGAAATACATGATTTGAAATCATGTAGTATCCAAAGTTTTACACCTTACCTGCCAGCACTTGGACACAAAAGGGAAATGTCTCTACCTTTGACCATTTGAGCATTAAAAGACACAAAAGGTACCAAAGTATCAGTTCTTTTCCATCGTTTATTTCATTTTATTTTTTTTATTATTTTTTTATAAAAATATCAGGGCATTGCAGGTAGGAGATTAAAGACCTTGGAGCTATAGGTCAGCTGTAAAGACTTAGAAGACTTATATATTCCTGCTGATGCTGGTCAAAGACAAAACAATCTACAAATAATGCAGGCAGGAGTTTATAAAAAATGCTGGGAAATCTCAGATGTCCTCGAAGGCCAACTTTGTGCAACCCTGTTCTACGCAGTGCGACCAAGGTAAGACCCCTGAAGTGAAGGACTGATATAAGGAAGTGCAAAATGATTAAGAAAATTTCAGTCAAACACAGTGCATTTGGAGGAGCTTAATTTCTTTAAAATAATTTGCACCTTTCTTCCGCAAAAAGACCGTTTAGAGTCCGTTTTCAGTGGTCAAGAATCTAAAGTGCCAGCCACTCTGATGAACAGTCAGTATGGCTGACTGTGTCAAGACATCTAAGGGCTCAAGTGTCTCCCCAGTATGAGTCCTCAGGTTATTGAGCCTTTTGGGAGTCTCCCTGACTAAAAACACGTCACTGTCGTTCTGTACTGACCCTCTTCATGCTCAACACTTCTTACTGAATGAGATGCTGCGAGTAGTTGGTGGTAAATCTCAGCTAGAGATTTAAAACTAAACACAACCTGCATATCAAAGGTAAAGTAGTTTTAAGTGGTTAAAGTTGTGGATCTTTTGTTCTTTTCAAGGCCCAGGAAGTTCAATCATGACCGCTCACTCAACTTCAAGGAATGTTTATACTTGTCGTCTCGCCTAATACTATTGTCTGACCACTAGGGGTCAGGAATGTGGCTCTAAACAGCAGTGAAAATTACTGTGAAGTCAGGTATGAAACCAGTCATCCAGAATGCGTGGTGACAGGAAACAGTTCAATACCCCTCAAAGCTATCTACACCCTTAAATTTGGTTCTTTAGTAAAGAAAATGGTTCTATAAAGAACTATGAACATTCAAAGAACCCCTTGAATGATTAAATGGTTCTTTGCATAATGTAAGGGTTCTTAATGTACTGCAGGTGGTTCTATATAGCACCCAAAAGGGCTCTTATGTTATGATATGATACAGTAGAAGAACTTTTTGGTGCTATATAGAAAGGTTGTACAAAGATGTTTCTCAACCCTGGTCCTGGAGGACCACTGCACTCTTCCTGCTTCAACACAGCCGCTTACAATGATTTACAGCACGTTCTCCATCAATCTGAAGAACCATTTCATGATTCAAAGAACCCTTGAAGGATGCAACGGGGTTTTTGAATGTTCATGTTTTTTGTAGAACCATTTCCTTTACTAAAGAACCCTTGAAGAACCATCTTTTTAAGAGTGGAAGATACTTATTACCTGAAACAGTTATGAATACGGTGCCTGGTACTTTGGCATTGTTTTACGAAAATGTTAGACTCAAACAGTTCAAGCATTACATATAAAAGCTCTTAACCTGTGTTTCTGTTGGTGGTTTTGATAGTAAGTAATGACTGTTTGAGATCTTGTGGCCCCTGGTTCCTATCACCACCACTGTAAAGAGAGCTGAGTTTCTCCACAGTGAACCATTCCACATTTAAAGCCTTTTCAGTGACTTTTAACGTCTCAGCATTTAAATTGCAGAAAATTGGGGGATAAAAAAAACAATTTATTGAGGGAAAATTATTTTGACATGCAGCCCTGCTGTGACATGAAGTAACCCACAAAGACTAGTTTACAGCTCAACAGCTGATTTGAACGGCTCGTTTACCCAGAACCAGGTGGACAAGGGATGTCTCTTGGTGCAGGTGTCAACATAAAAATTAAATCCATGGAAATAAATATACTAAAAAATATACACTATACATAAACACAATATAGACAATACACAATCTGCAAGTAAAAGTATGTGCAATGGGAGGTAAGTACAGATACTGAGGTACATATGTGCAGCTAAAATAATAGAGCAAAAAATATACATAAACACAATTATAAAATATGTATATCGCATGAAGTTAAAGTGCAAATGTGCACTGACTAGTAGAGGAAATTCGGAAAGGTTCTTATCCAGAAGGAGCATGGCATGTGATACACACTGGTTATGTACATTTATGTTTAATGCAGTGAAATGTGAGAAGAGCCCTTGTTTAGGAGGATGATGGCCTGGGGAAAGAAGCTGTGACGGTGTGGATTTCCCATAATAAGACTTGCATGAAAAGAAATTTGTTGATTAGATCACTTTACTGTCAGTCACTGAACGTTCCTTGTCCACAAGGTGGCAGCAGAATCACTGTGGGTGTTGATTGATAGAAATGAGTTCTACCAAAAACTCTTAGCAAGCCAGAAACAGTCCAGAGAAGCAACCTGGCACATCAGAAACACCTAAGAACTAACTTTAATCAAAATATGAGACTATCTGAGCCAGTTAATGGCGATACAGTAGGTTTACTTAGCAAGTTTAGCCTCAAGTGCTAGTGAAACCTCAAGGTGGTACAAAATGTCTGAGGTTCAGCACCAGCGGAGGAGTGAAAGACTCTCCTTACCAATGAAAATTGAGTAAATTTTAAACGTTAATCAAAATACAAAGGTGTCGAACATTTAAAGGTGGTACAACATATTTACTGAAGACTGGTAATAGCAACGGCAGCATTTATGAATGCTAACGTATAGGGAGTCCTCTGTGAGGAAGCTTCTTTTCATGTCCTCAGTATAAATTTACTTAATTGTACCTTGAAAGGTTTGGTGGAACAGTTTTCATCTTCAGGGATAAGGCAATTTGACAAGGTCTAACAGCTTTTCTTTGAGAATCATCTGCTTGATCTCAAAGGTAAGTTGAGGATCCAGCTGAAGTTAGCAGCCTGTAATGTTTGGTAGAACACAGTATAGTCAATGTTGTGCAAGTTGGGTGTACAGTTAGTAAAGTCAGTTGTGGTCAGATTATGTAATTTAGCTTTAAAATGGCCGCTCTTTAACATTAATTTGATTGGTACAATGTTTAGTTGTGTAAATGGCCAGGTCAGCCTTCCTGCGTAAGGTGACTGACACAACATTATGTACTACAGTTTGAGCAGTATTATCACTAACACTATGAGGTTCCATTCCACCTTAAATGCTGCAACTGTTACACTCTAGTCCATTTAGGTAGCTAACCTCGGCCTTGTATTCACACTTATGTTTAGCGTGAAAAACACTGGTCAGCACAATTCAGTCACAGTCCACATAGTTAACCGGGCAAGCTTGGCATCATAATATACAAAAACTATATAGTCACCATTTTGTTGTTCGTTTTTCGGTATGATTTGAAAACTCCTGCTGCTTTTTACATTGTATTAAAATTTAATGATGAATGGTCCAAAAGAACTGCCTCAAAATTATCTGGTTCCATTAACTCCCTTTCAACGTTAAGGTTTTTTCCCCAACAGCGGTTATGGTTGTACATTAACAACACATTCTCCATCAGTCTGTAGAACCATTTCACCGTGCAGAGAACCATTTAAGCATACAAATGGTTCTTTGAGTGTTTATGATTCTATATAGCAGGAGTACATACATACATCATCTAAACTGCTTATCCTTCTGGGTCGCGGTGGGGTGCTAGAGCCTATCCCAGCTGTCATTGGGCAGAAGGCAGGATACACCCTGGACAGGTTGCCAGTCCATCGCAGGGCAGACAGACAGACATACACAGTCACACCTAGGGGCAATTTAGCACGTCCAATTGGCCTGACTGCATGTTTTTGGACTGTGGGAGGAAACCGGAGTACCCGGAGGAAACCCACACAGACACGGGGAGAACAGGCAAACTCCACACAGAAACGACCCTCGCTGGAAATTGAACCCAAAGCCATTCTTGCTGTGAGGCGACAGCGCTACCCATTGCGTCACCGTGCCGCCCTATAGCAGGAGTATTTAATTAAAATTCAGTAAGGTCCAGTTGGAGA